CTTGGCAGTTGCGGAATCATGTTTTAAGGTGTTTTTGATACCTAATAAAAACAACAACACAGCCCCGGCAAAAAGCACACACAGTTACTCACGCACACACACACGCAAACAGAACTGCAACGAAAACGCGCCATGCCAAAGGGTCAACTGGAGATGGGGCAAGTCAGCAGCGGCAATGGAAGAGCGGCAGGCGGGAAGGAAGGGAGGTGGGCAGGGGTAGCCGCGGACTTCAGGGCAGCGGCCAGCGTCGCAGTGGCCAACAGAAGAAATACTTTTTGGGCCCAGGTCCCCAACATACGTCATAGCGGCGACGTCGACTGCGACGCCGTTCGGCGTGTTTATTATAAAACAACAAATCATTCATTATAACCACTTGTGTGTACACACACAGGCACAGATACAGATATGCCTACATGTATAGGTATGTGTGTGCATATGAGAAAGTGGCGTAAACATAAAAAGAAACACAAGCTGGCAACGCCATGAAGTTTTTGGATATGGCCATCTATGTGCTGTATCCGAATATGAGTATCTGTATATGTATTTGTATTTGTATTTGTGTCTGTATCTGTGTATGTATCTGTGCGTGTGTGTTGCTGTTTGCTGTCGTTTAATATGCATATTTGCGTATTATTTTGATTTTAATAATGATTTATTTATTATTAATAATTCATTGGTGGTGGGCCCTCGCCAAGATCGGATTGGATTTGTGCTGGCTTGAACGCTGATTGCGATCTGATCTCCAGCCACCAGGCAGCAGCTTCTCAAGTGCAAAAGCACCACGCACCTCAAACAGAGCCCGATCTCCAGCCAGGTTGCCATTTGAATACGAGTATCGGCTCAGTTCAACTTTGAGTCCATGAATGGGCCTATACTATATATGTGCCCAGCTGAGCCCGATCGTTGGCTGGCTCGTTGGTAACACAAGTTGCGTTATGTTGGAAACCTAGGAAACGCATATTATAATGAGCTTCAATTAAGATAGAAATCTCGAAAACAAAAGAGACAAAGATTTATAGGTTCACAATTATGCATTGACTACCTTGAGGCACTAGACCAAGAGACCAAAACTATGTGAGACTTAGTACAAGTTGACTAGTTAGTGGCAAACACACACACACATACAAACTTTCATTATCTAATGCCAAAAAGAGCTAGGTATACTTTGAATATTTGTAAAGGGTTGCAGATCACATTAGATTGTATTTTGTGTTTAGCCAAGTGAATCACCCATATTTGCCTGTGGCTTAAAATAAAGTATAATATTTATGAAATATTTTATCCTAAACCAGTAACAGCTGGTATGGTTAATATGGAAATATATTAAGGTTCGTTTAGGCATTGAGAAAACTCTAGCACAAGAGTGGTTGAATGGTTGAATCTGTACCAAATTAATGTTTTATAAATTCTTGATTTATCTTCATTTTATTAAAATATGTAAAATTTGGCTTGGTAGGCAAAATGCGGTGCAGAAATTAAACAAAGTGAGAAATGGTTCTCTCTTCAATATAATGACATTTATTTTAATAAAAAAAAATCACATGTTAAAGTGATTTGCTTGATTTAATACAAAGCAATTCTCAATATCTGCAATACTCTATAAATCGTATATGTAAGACTATATAGAAAATAAATAGTCACTTTAGGTGCAATTAAATATAAATTTTGTGTCTCGCATACTGGGTTAGAGCATTTGACTAGCGACCACTCGGCTCAGTTCTCTTGACCCATTCTCACTCTTTCGCTTAACTCGAACAGTAGCCTCTCATGTTTACCAAGTCTCCCATCTGTGATTTACGAGTGCTCCATGCAAAACTGGGTAACTGTTATACCAGTTTAAATATTTGGTAAAAGCGAATCGATGGTATATGCGACTTTTGGCCAACATGAATAATAGACCAACTATTTTGATTTACTGCCGTGCATTGAACTCAAAGATGTAGCCCCTAAAAACCCATTGCTGGCGCCTGTGAGCGCCCCAACGTGTCCCAGCCTTCGCTTCCCTTTTCGGCGCCTGACCAGTAGGAGCCTCTGTCTCCGCCTTGCCACATTAATGTCAATTTAATGTTTCCTTAATGACTTCTTTCGTTGCAACTTCTTTGCCTCTTCTGGTTGCAGTTGTTGTTGCTTTTGTTGTTTCAGTTCTTATCAGTTGCTGGTCAAAGTTGTCGCTTGGCTGGAAAGTGTTTATGCTAAATAGCTAACGAGTTTTTCCCCCATGAAAGTGAAGGGCGAGTCTTCAAGTCAACCAAATAGTTGGTTATTTCTTTAAATTTGGAGAGCTACTGCTTTAGTATGATATGGTATTATATGGTATATTCACTGGCTGACATGTGCTCGACGTGCCGTCTATTTATTTGGGTCGGCAATTAAGATTTTTATCAGCGCCTTTGATGGGGCAATAAAAACGCAAAGAACTTGCAGACAAACTGCAAACAAATGCGCACTCTTTCTGTTCTCTATTTCTCTGGCTTACGCTCTCTCCCTCTCCCTCTTTGTCTCTCTGGCTAGCCAGCTCATTTATGCGGCTGGGTATTTGTCAAGAGCGTGCTCCGCTTTAAAAAGTCATAAAAATCAGCTAAATGCGCCTTCAAAAAGGTGTAAAAACACAAACACCCAGCAGCCAGATGGGATGAGACTGGCTGCACTTGACGAAATGGTTGCCAGTTCTAACCGCAAACTTAAGGTTTAATTTTTCGTCGCGCACGTCGCTAATAAACACCCTTTGCAGACTCCTGTCTGCCGGCGATCCGGCGAGCCGCCAACCATTTGTTTGAATTTGTCTAAAGTGGCTGCCTTTTTGCCCCTCTACTTTCTCTGTCACTCTTCCCCGTTACAGTTTTCATAATTTTCATTGCTGCTGCAGCAAAAAAAGCGTTTGTCAAATTTTTCGTTTACTCTTAGTTGGCGCCCCTGCTCACAGTCGGGCACCCACACTCCGCGCATAGTTGTGTTTCCTTTTATTTTTAATTTAATATTTTTCTTTGTTGTTTCTTTTTCGGGTGCTATGTCTGCAGTCTGCATCTGGATGTCCGTCTGGGTCTACTACTCTCCCTCCCACCCTGTCATTCTCTCTCCCTCTCCTGCTCTAGCGGTGTCTTCCCCGCTCACTGTGTGCTCTTCAGCTGAAAATTACGTTTACTCAGGCGCCAGGCGCGCATATTTAAATACACACGTGTTTTATCGCTGCCATTAAATCATATTTTTATACTTTACCTTTTTGCTGTGCCACCTTCAATGACTCCACACCCTCAGCCCCTACTACGCCCACCCACCCGACCAGACTACTTTTGAGCGCGTTGGCATTTTGATTGTTTACATTTTGCACTTTCACGGCATAAACAAACAAACGGCGCTAAAAATTGTGAGAAAAAGTATAAAATAGAAATACAAGACAGAGGCAGAGGCAGAGGCATCTAGTTGAAAGGGAGGAGGAGAGAGGGGAGTAGCCTGTTTGCGAAAGGGTTTGGTCAGAACGTAATGAAGGCTCTTGTAGCGCCAGACGAAATTCCAAGTGTTTTTAAAAGTGGGATTAGCTTTAGTTATTTGATTGATAGATTGATATTGTTACACAAAAATATTCCAATAAGCCATAACGTAAATATAAATTGAATGCAGAGATGGGTATGCGCTGTGTTTTTTTCCGAGTCTCGACACGTCTCGTAATTAGAACTCTTTTTCTCTTGAGCAGCAGATCTCTTAAGTCATTATACAGTTAAAATAATTTTATCAAGTGTAACTTTCAACTTAAACCTATTCGATAGCTCGTACGTTACCATCAGAAATATTAAGCAAAGCATCGGGTAAAGATGCTTCTATCAATAAAAAGTTGCGAATAATTTTAAACTTCTCTATTTTCGACCGGGTTGTGCTGTTTTGAGCAATGCGTTTGTAAGTTTTCCCGGTATGTGTTTGAAAAAAATGTTTCGTCTTCGTATTGGGCCGATCTGTACAAGCCGGCCGTATACCATTGCAAACGAAGCCTTTATCCGTGTATTTTCGTCAGAGCCTTTATTATTAAGTTAAGTAGTTTTCTCAGTTGGGTAGCCCAACGCAACAAAAATAGAATAAAACAAGTAAGAGGTTCTAGTCCGAAGCTCCCGACTAAGGGTTACCCTGAACCCTCTTCTTCCAACATCAAATGCACATATATATTATATTTTAGAAGCTATATATCATGTTTGGTGACACTAGCTCTTATTATTTACCAAAATCGCCAAAAAAAACAGAATATCGATATCGATTTTATCGATTATCGGAAACAAACTCAATCTGCACAGGCACTGGAGCACCTACATCTAAAATTTGAAGTCTCTAGTTCTTATAGGTTCTGAGATCCTAGCGTTCATACATACGGACAGACAGACAGACAGACAGACATGGCTAGATCGACTCGGCTATTGGTGCTGATCAAGAATATATATACTTTATGGGGTCGGAGATGCTTCCTTCTGCCTGTTACATACATTTGGATTTTGCACAAATACAATATACCCTTATACCCATTTTTAATGGGTGCAGGGTATAATAAAACTAGTTTGGACAGTAACATTTGGTATGCGGCAAAAATTGACTTAGATCAAAGACCATCAAACTGTTTATTAAGCTAACCTTTTTCTTAAGTCCTAATCGCAGCTGATTTAACAAGTTGAACCATAAGTGTTGCCTTACACTTCGTATGTGATCAGTTGCATAGGTGAAAGATCAAACGAACGTGTCCCTAATCGGCTACTGTTCAGAGTGTACTTGGCAACGCTCCTCCTAAATCCCTCCACCCACTCCACTGCAAATTGCAGCATTATGGCAAAAGCAAGAACAACAACAACAACAACAACAAGAAAGCTTAGTTTCAATTTACAAAAGTGGCCCCACCACACGTGGGGCTGCTTAAGCATTAATACCTCACGCATCGCTCTCCCCCTGCGTCTCGCCAAGCGGCTGCTGTGGCATTTTTTAGCATTTTTTAAACGTTTCTCTTCTCTGGTCTTCTGCATTTTCAGGTAAGATAAGATCTGATTTAACACAATACGGCGGCATATCAACAGACATGGGTAAGAAAATTTCCACATTTTTATTTCTTTTATATTTTTAATTTAGTTTGCATTAGCGCAACGAAACTGGTTAAGATCCAGCCTAGAATATTGTAGAGTTGTCTACTAATATTAGAAATTAGTTAGAAATTAGCAAAAGGTGTTGGTGCTACATACTCCCCAAAGAGACATTGGCAAAGCAAAATTGAAGGCGTCAGAGAGGAAAACGAGCTGAGAATCTTCTCTTGTAACTTAGGGGCGTCAAACGTTAACTCAAATGCGCCAGCCCCAGACCGTGTGGAAATGATTGATTAGCCAGCTCCAAGCTGCCTGCCAGCTGATTAGGCCAAATGCGGCTTGGCAACACGCAACGTCAGCGCAATTAATGTTAACATTAAACAGAGTCAAGTAGCAGCCACCAGCCACACGTCGCAAGTGGTTCGCACTGCGGCCACAATGCTCAGCCGCTGCTCTGCCTGCCTCTGCTATCGGCAAGCGGCGACTTCTGTGGCCCAGAGCCACTGGAGGCGTTTATTTTTCAGCCAGTTGCTTGGTGGAGCCTTCGCGTTGCGAGGTTATCAATCAGCGCTTCGTCGTCGTCGACGTCGACTTCAAGCAGCTACTTCTTAAAATCCAATTACACGCACAGATTGCCCGACTGACAAACTGAGCAACTGGGCAACTGAGCAATTGCGAAACTGAAAGGCCGCCAGACTGATCAGCCACTCAAATTACATGAATCAAGCCGGCGCAAGGCATGAATTGAGGCGCAAAATTGCCGAGACGCGCCACCCAGACTTTGCCAGCTAAGACCCAAACCCAACCCACACGTCACCCTTCCCCTAGATCGAGGCTCGACTCTGCCTTGGCTTATTATTGACTATATTCAATTGATTATCTCGTGCAAAGCGGTAGCTAAATATTGGCACAGACGCAACAAGTGGGCAGCTAGTCCAAGCGTGAGTGTTTGCATCTCTAGAGATGCTCCACGGCAATCCTGGCCGCGGTCATCCTCAGTGCGGTGGGCAGTACTTTTGGCACTTGGCAATTGGCTAAAGTTGGGATAAGATGCGAGATATAGATTGGAGCTGGCAACTAGGTGCCACTGCAGAGAGCTACCACTTTGCCAAAGTGAGTGGGTATTTAAGGTTGGCTCAGCGAAACGATCCCCAGTTAAGTTTACTCTAAATAATATGAATTTTGTTATCTTTTAATATGATTTATTGTATATTAAAGTATATAATAATATGAGACCAATAGCTAGACTAAACTGTCAATATATAGGATGATAGAAAGAAAAATTCCATAAGTATTAAAGTCTTTCAATCCCAAAAATGTGCTTAAATATTAACTTCAGTTCATGTTACAGATTGTCTTGTTATTTTTCAGAAACTGATTATTGTTATTCATTTATGCTTTATAATCTTCTTAGTAAGATTCTTACTAAATAGTTGATTTCTGTTGTTTATTTAAACGAGAACTTGCAAATACTCTTGGCTCTTGATTTCCATTCATTTAATTATTTGATAAAATCTTATTTCCTTTACAATGTACATAGAAAAGGGAACATAATATGATATAATCTATATAGCATATGGTATATATGACAACGAAGCCCACCTTTTACCCGCTAAATACAACCTATAATAATGATAATCATTTTGTGCCGCGCAGGTAAAATCTCATAATTTCGCTGTCATTTCTCACTCATTTTAACAGCACAAAAACAGAGCTAGAACCCCAACAGTTGGCGCAAACTAAACGCAACTAGGGGAAGGTGGTGGGGTTGGGGCTGTATCCATTTGGTGGGCGGGGCCGTCATTCGCAATGCTGCTGACATTGAACATGACATTTTCCCCCAAAGAGATAATTAAATTGCGGGCTTAATAGAATTAAATGCCGTGTTTGCATTTCAAAATCCAAAACGTGCCAAATGCCAATGGCCGTGCTCCCCGTTGCACACCCTATTCCAGAATACGACGCGGTTCGCCTGGCAACAACAACAACAACTGCAACAACGACAACAACAACAGTGGCAGCCGCAACAAAAATACAAAAAATGTCAATTTGGACAAGTTTTGATAATTGCAGGCGCGGCCGCGACCGAGGTCCAGAGTCGCGTTCGAATTGTGGCGGCAGCTACTGTGCTGCATGTTGCACGTTGCACGTAGCACATGGCCATGGTGTGTGGTGTGCGTGTGTTGCGGCTGCTCCATGTTGCATGTTGCAGTTAATAATTATTGAAATGTGCGGCCGCCAGGAATTGTGCTCGTGCTCCTTGTGCTTCCTGCGCGGCTTCCGTCAGCAGCAGCGGCCACTGCAATGGCAGCGGCAGCGTCAATGTTGCATGCATCGTTACCTTTAAGCTCTGCTGTTGCTGCTGCTGTTATAGTTGTTGCTGCTGCTGCTGCTCAACTTAAGACTAACAATGCTTGCATTTTCCCACCTTTTTCACATAAGTTTTCAGTTGTTGTTTTTTTGTTTTCTTTTCGTTTCCTCAGTTCGTCTTCGGCAGCCGTTGCCACTGGCAGGGTAAACAAGTCGGCCACTTGGCCAGCAACTCGTTACCCACCACTCGCTGCCAACTGCCTTTCCGCCCGACACACAGTTAACCCTCTGCGGCGCACACACATCGTCGATGTCTCGAACTTGTTACCACTTTGAAAGCGGGCCGGCCTCCGTTTGGACTGGCCCCTGTAATAAATTCATATTCAAATTGTTAATTGAATATTATTTGTTAAATTTGCAAGCATTAAATGTAAATGTCGGCTGACTGGGCAAATGTGGCGGGGGCGTGACCGCGGGCCGTGCAAATACCTCTTTGCGTATAATTTCGTAATTTTGGTTATTTAATTTTATTTGCTGCTGCCTTGTTAACAGAATCTATGCGATTTCCAGAGATTTTAAAATCTGAGCTGCAATTGAACTATTAAATTCATGCATCTTTAATGCTGGACCAATTCTCTGGCGCCAATAATTTGGTCACTGTACCAACGACCCGCATAAAAATCTCACCCAAAAAACGCATCGATGAACAACGAGTACTCGTGACTGTTACTGTAACTGTAACTGTCGCTGTAACTGCGACTGCGACTGTAATTGTATCCTGTGTCCTGTGAGACTGTTGGCTGTTGTCCTTGTCAGCCGCTTTGCGTTGGCTGTTGTTGTGCAATTTCCATAATTCATATTCATAGACATTACAAGCGGCCAGACAAACAAACAACAAACGAGGCTGCCGCGAAGCTACCTGCACCTGCAATACGGACAAATGTCCGTCCCAACAGTCGCCAAAAAAAGAGCCACAAAAAAGAAACTGCAAAGTGTAAATGCGGCCAAAGTGCAAAAATTTCACATATGCTTTGGGGCAGGTTCACAAAAAACCCCGTATAAAGTAAAGCTTACATAAAACGTTTCAGCAGAAGCGATTGTGGGGGAGACAGAGCTAGAGAGAGGGAAGAACCTAGAGAGTGCTGTGTAACACAGAGATTATTGCGGCACGTTTAGACATAAATTATGCTCTACGATCTCAACAAGTGCATGGACAACTCAAAGGTTTATCCATTCATTTGATTGAGCTTTGAGTTACGAGTAATTTATACCCTGAGACGAGAGACGGAGACCCTCATAAAATAAACAGAAAATCAACAAGCCCATCATCATCATCATCAAAATCATCGTAAACATCAACACCGAAGAGAATTCAACTAAAGTATCTTATAGATACGCATGCACATTCAACGTGCTACATATGATTTTACACACAGACTCTTTGAAATTATTAACTGGGGAGCATTTTGTAGTTCGGCAAGCGTAAGTGTTGTCCTGGACCTCGAACAGCAAACTGAAACAGAAACACTTCATAAAATGGCACACGGCACTTTCGTTTTTCCCGTTGGCATCTGCAGCACGTGAACGAACAAGATGAGAGAGAGAGAGAGAGAGGAAGCAGGTGAGAGGGCAGCCAATAGAAGGCTGCCACATGTGGCAGTGGACAACGACAGCTGGAGCTAACCACCAGGTTTCAATTAATGAATTAGTAATTTGGCTTCATTGCTGTAATGAACACTTGGACCAACGTCTAGTGGGCGGATGTGTGTAAAATTTCTGTTAATGTTGTTATAAGACAGTTTGCTATAAATGATAACTTGTGGATAATATGGGGGCAGAAAATCACAGTGTATTGATGCCAATAGAACAGTTGGCCCTTCATTTGATATTTCAAGAGAAGCACATATTTATGAAATAATATTATATTTTATATACCATATCCTGACGTGCAGGAAGAAAAGAAAGAAAGCGATTGCAGGAGAGTAAATTGAATGTGATCATGAGCAGAGATACATTTTATTAGATTTCTACACTGCATCGCGAGAATCGCGAGAGGGCTCGAGTAACAATAGGAAAAAAAAGATTATTAAAATTATGGAAAAAGGTAAAGAAAAAGAGAGTAGTCTTTAGTGAGGGCATAGGCAGAAATAACTTTGTTTTAGATTGCCAACACAACTTATAATCAGCGCATGAAAAATCAGTAAACCTTAAATTCACGAAAATGGTAGGAGAACATATATGCATACGTAACAATCTTAAACCCATATATCAGTAAAGGTAACTCCTGTCGGCAAATGAGTTTGTAGGGCCTTGCGGTATGGGCTATCCGTTGTCAGTCAGCCAGTGAATCAGCCGGTACAACCAGTTTTATATTTAGATTATTAACATGAATGGAATTGAGCATAACATTTGTATTCCAACCCGGATCTGTGCTCGGCAATTCACATATTTATAGAACTTTTGGAATTTCCACAATCTAATCAATCTTGCTCCAAAAAATTTGCAATCTATTAGATATTTATTTAAGTCATGCTCCTGGGACTGGAATGGTCTTTTATGGCTCATTACATCAGTCAATGTGGCCAGCACTCGGGGAGCTCAGCGCTTCCATTAAGAGTATTAAAATTATGAATACTTCTAAACCAATGATAATTTTGTAATTGTAGTGTAGAGGCCAGAGTCCATGTTTATTA